CTGATACCCTCTTTCGGAATGGGAAAGGGAGACTAGGAGACAATAAGATGAACGTCATACCTTGCTGCATATGCATCAAACTCGACGGTGTACCCATACGCGGCTGCAATTGCCCACAATCGTCCATGACTGAAAGGCACAACTACTCGTTTCCAAAATTCTGTCGTAAAACGAAGGGGAGGGGGCCATGAAGAGCTAGAAAGCGAAGAACAGACATAAAGGGATGGTTCACATAAGGAAATAAAAGCAAAAAGCCTCAGATGCTAACTGCCCATTACCATTTACCAATAAACATAATGGTGTGCTCAAATTTATGGACAAGGCATCAAGCGCGGCCAAACAGGATGCGACGCCCAGGCAACGCATGTAGTCAAGACGCTGGCCATGTTATTGGAACCACCTTGGGGCAATTCCTCACAATGATGTCATTTCTTAGAAATCTACCAGCAAGGCCAGCATAATGTTCGATTCTATTTCTATTTCTATTTATTGCATGTACGCTAGATACATGAGGTAGAAATGTAAGTAAACACCACACCAGGATTCAGTTACAAGTTTCAGATATCACAGACAATCTGACATGGCCGACTATAGTTTTGGCCTTTGTGTAGCCCGAGCAATTACTCATATACGCTTACCCATTTCTAGGGAAAAGTATATGCAGTAGATATAAGAGTATGGAAATGAAGACTTTTGCCTCAGCTCAAGGAGATGGAGCTCTGGGACGGTTGAAACACTTTCAAACACGGCAATTCTATTCCGATGTTGCCGATATGAGATTTGCTTGAGGAGTTCCTTATATTGCCCCCATGAAGGCAACTTGTTAAAGGATAAAGTCTTGATCAAGTCTTGGCCGTTGATCAATCCCTTTGTAGGATGCCGCTCACGTTCCAGTTCCACTCAGAATTGTAGTGGCTTTTTGAATGTGATGTGGCCTATGAAATGACTTGGCGGCTAGCCGATGTACAAGTGTACAAGTGTTCTTATCGTCCCAGAGAAATCTGGTACCAATTTCTCCGAGGAAGAAGGCTAGGCGCTGTTCATCGACGGGGAGAGAGCATTCTGCTTTTCATAGATTTGCCAACCCATCTAGGTACCCTTTTTTCGAGTTGACACGTTTTAGGATGGTGGCTAGACGATCTTGCTCCAGCTTCACAAGCGTTCACAAGTTTTACCAGAGTGAGATTTGTAAACCGGAACCAGGGAAGCAATTATAATACAAAATGCCCCCCCCCGTCGATAAACAGCGCCAGAAGGTTATGTTGTCCAATGCGGGAGTCAGTATAAGATTCGGCCCCTAATCGCGCGCGAGGTAAACGTGCCACTTGCCACTACACCACCTCCGCTTCAACGAAGGCAATTAGCCTCCAAAAATTAATGAAAATGACCAGTTATTGAAACATGTTGAGTGCTAACATGCCAAAGCATTATTTAACAATAAATTGAGAATAAACAAGAAAAATTTCAAATTTCGACACCTTAACGGGTCACTCTCAACGAAGTCCATGGAGACAACTACGTGCGAGGAATAACAGTGTTTTTTCGAGATAATCCGCTGAAGTATGAAAGCAAGCAATCGTTCAGTACCTATACACTCTTTCAAGGTAAACATGTCTAAAAACGAACCCCCTTGCAGGGAGACTCTAGTAAGCCCTTCAAATGACACCATTCCTAAGGCAAAAGATATCCAGATTTTGAGACATTAACCGGTTCCGAACTCTAAAACAACTTGAAAAATAAATATATTGTCTCACAAAGACCCGGCAGTAAGGAATCGAAGACCACCCTACGATACCCTCCCGAAACCATGGAGCACTATTCCGTCCTGCCTCTCATGACCAGGGTCCATAGTCACTTTTCTCTTCTACTACTGCACTCTTCTTTCTACTCACTTTTTCGGCTTCCTTAGGCTCTCTAGTGGGGCCTCTCCAACTCCTGAAATTTGACCCATCAGTTATCTTATCCCAGTAGCTGTATGAAAACACAGTATTTTCACAACAACAAGAAGCATAAAAACGACAGAAAATTCGAAGCGGGAATAGCACCGCGTAAATTTTGGGGCACACAGCGAGACGTCAATCTCTGTCAAAACAGACAACATAGCGTTCCTGGGTTCCTTTCCAACTAAATTTGTCTGTTTATTGCTCAGATGAAACTCATGAGCCACGAAACGTTGACAAAGAAAGTTTCCTTTGATCAATTCATGAGGAGTGGCTCAAGTGCCGAAATGTTTTCACATATAGTGAGGAAGGATTTCTGCTGAAGCCATTATGAGGGCTGTTCGGCGACGGAGGGCATTTTGCACTTTGGCTGCTTCACTAGTTCCGGTTTAACCAGTCTCAATCTAGTGAAACCTGTAAACTGTTGCGAAGCCAGAGCAAGTTCGTCGAGCCAAAACGGTAGAACCTGCTAACTCTTGGAAGCTCATGAATAGCTCTCTGGATGGCTCGACTCGTCAATGGGAAGTAGCAAAAGTCCAAAATGCCCACTTCCGTCACCGATGCGCCCAATTAAGTGTAACGTGCAGCTTGAGCATGAAATAGAACAACGATAGGGGACCATAAATGTCAAAGATATGGAAAATTATGTCACAAAACATACCTCTAGATGGGGACGACATCACTGATGGACTATAAACTGGTGAAGCATGAGGCCATTGCTGGAAAAGAGAGAATTTCGAAAAAAAGTACTGTTAAGACTTAGTAGGTAGGTCAACGCAAATGAAGAACTGAGGGTATGTGGCAAGAGAATCGTATTTCGCCGCGCCAGTGGGCGTCGCGTGCGACGTCGTGCCCGCGAATAGTATAATGTAGTAGTATAAGTTTATTAAGTGTGCATAAGGCATACGTGAGAAAAAAAAGATCGGAACACATTACGTATACAAGTTCCAATATTGATATATTAGTTAAAATGTTTCAAATTGAAGGGATGTGCAAGTTAAGGAAACGTCGCGCACATTGCCGCGCGCGACGAAGCGGCAATTTACGATTCTCTTGCTCTTCTCCAAAAACTAGGACACCATGTAATCATTATAAGCTCCAATAGCAATCAGCTCATTGGATACGCACAGTTTCTTCCAGGAAAAAATGATAGGGAAATCAGCTGATAATAGGCCTAGACTTCACGAAAGAAGTAACGAAGTGGTGAAATGCATAAGAATATAACCACAGACCATCTGTTTAGAAAGAGGGCCCTACTTGCTACTACACCACAAAGATGCATGCCATCCAAAAATCAGAAATAAACAAAGAAAAGGAACTTCACCTGACAGGGCGGCCCCGGGACCATGAAAGCTTTATTATCCGGGCGCACAGATGGACCTGCAAGACCGACTTGATCAACAACCATATGGGTAATCCTGGACGGATCAAGGGGACCCAAAGGGCTGTCCATTTCACGTTTCTGCTCCTAAAAACATATTCAGAATTACAACAAGATTTCTCAATCTCTTTCTTCAGGTCTTTGAGGGAAACGATTAAAAAGGAGGACCATGAAACCAAGAAAATATTGGGGGAAATTATGAAGGCAAGTCAAGTTTCCAGAGAGCAAGTTTGCTCCCATATAACTGAAAAAGTCTTTCTCGGAAAACGTGACTAGGAGAAATACACTCCCTCTAATTTCGACTCTAAAAGTGAATTGTTTAAATTGATCTTCCATTATTCTCTCTCATAGAACGAATGGCACTTTTGGCTCAAAGCGGGCGTTTTGCTGGCTCCCATCAACCACTGCCATTTCCCCCTGTCGAGACCTGGGAATTCTTGTCGAGCTATGCAGTAGCAGGGCCTCGTTCGCACTTGAAAAGTCTACAGGCCTCATCAAGATGAGAAGTGTATAACAGAAACTAGCGGAAGTTCAAAATGCCCCTCACCTCCCCACCTCCTAGGCTGAACTGCGCGAAATGACTACGCCATTCGGCTCCTCGTAGGGGCCCTCTATAAATACTACCTCAAACTACGCCTAAATGTTCTCACGGACCTTTGAAGAATTTTCTCATGAAACTATGAGAAGGACCACCTTGTCAGAAAACTTCATGGACCTACAGTATGTTGAGGAATAGGAGCTTAAGGCCAGTGTACACTTCTATGAATGTCGCGAAAGATCAAAAGAGAAGGCATTTGCTA